GAATGTTTATAGCATCTTTATTTATCATAGCCCCAAATTGGAAACAACCCACATGTCCTTCAATGGATGAAAAGTTAAACATATTGCAGTACATCCACACCAGGAACTACTAAAATGGAATTAGCTATTCATACATGCGACAATATGAATGAGTCTCCAGAAAATTATGTTGAATTTAAAAGGCCAATCTAAAAGTTTACATACTGTATGATTCCATTTACATAACATTATTGAAATTTCAATATTATAGAAATGGATGTGGCCAGCCGAGTGGCACGTTGTTTAAGAGTTGGCTTGGGACACCAGCTCTGGGCAGCAGGGCTCTGGTTCAGATCCCACATGAGGGCCAATGACACTGCACCCTCTACAGCTAAGATGGTGAACAACAGCTCGACCTGGATCTGGGCTGCAGTGAGTGGCCAGCAGTGGGCGTGAGCTTTCATGAGCTGCCATGAGCCGCTGTGAGCAGCTGTCCAATGGCCGGTGAGTGACTGCCTCACCTGGGAAGAGTGCAATGATAATGCCAACATGGGCCAGTGAAGCGACATCCTCTACAACCAGAATGAAGAACCAAAAAACAGCAACTTGTCTGTTTCCCTCCCCCAATTTCCCAATAAAATCTTAAAAAAAAAAATTATAGAAATGGAATACAGATGAATGGTTACTGGGGTGGTTAAGGACTGGGGTGGGGAAGGACAATGGATATGGTTATAAAAGGGATCCTTGGCCTGATGGAAATATTCTATATTTTGATGGTATCAGTGTCAATCTCCTGGTGTGATATTGTACTATAGTTTTACAAGATGTTACCATGGTGGGAAAAGTGGGTAAACATTACATGGGATCTCTTTGTATTATTTCTTTCTTTCATTTTTTTCCTTTGTATGATTTCTTTTTTTTTAAAGATTTTTTTATTGGGGAATTGAGGGAGGGGAACAGCGCTGGGGAATCAGGGGAAGGGGAACAGACAAGTTGCTGTCCTTTTTTGTTCTTCAGTCTAGTTGTGGAGGACATCGCTTCACTGGC